GATGGGCGGTCTTAGGACATCGGCTAGAATTGTACACTACTAGACGAAAATGTTTAGCAATTTCTTGAAACAAAAATGTATATAAATTAACAATAGAAATAAAGCAAAAGTTTTATAGGTGTGTAGCGTTAAGTTAATTCACTTGTTATTATTTTTAGCTAAATATGCTTTTAAATAAAGCATATTCTTAAATTTTAACGAGGCAGTTTAGATAATTTTGCAAATGGTACTGTACACTTTTGTCTAGTTCTCGCTCGATGATCGGTGGAGAAATGAGCTCCGCACACAAATATGATTGAATTTGGAATTATGCTATGGCGCATCCTAATAAAGGGAAGGGGCATATATTTAACTTCTTGAAACGAACAGTATAATTATTGATTGCAAATTAAACTGGAAAAATCATATTAGTTACATCCATAACGGAACTAAATATTTGATATTTGTTTTTTACAAATTATCAAAAATTATGAATACTGAGACTTTAAGAATGATCTACTTTAGTCTTTTTAACAGTGAAATAAGCTAAGGTATAATAGCTTGGTGCAATGCGTACCCCAACACTTTGATTTTCTCAAAAAACCTACAGAAAAAATTGGAAAATTTAGTAAATAAAAACAAATTTATTATACGTAGTAATCTACTCAGCATAGAACAATTATACACAATAGAATCTTTAAGCTTTCATTATGACAACCTTAAATCTTAATTTTATCTCAATAGCAAAAGTATTATTAGAAAAAAGAAAATTTTAATAGCAACACGACATAAAGCAATGAGTAATAAATGCAGTTTAATTAAGGCAATTAACTCTTTAATGATTTACCAACAGAACTAAAAAGACTTGAAACCAAAAATAGAAAAAAGAAATTAAAGGAGTGGATTATGTGCAATATAAAAAATCTAAGTCTAATATTATAAGCGTATAAATAATTAACCGTACTAATAAGTAAATATAATATATTAAAATGTTAACACATTACTGTTGCTAGTTATTAGTTTTAAGTCATGGGAATTAAGATTAACATTAGTTTTAAGAATTTCTATAACCAGTCTCACAAACAGGTAACTCAGTTTGCCGCTGTGATAAATGTAGGGAGTAACTACTGCTGAATATGTAAACTTTTGTATACCTACATTACTGGTTAAATAAATAAATAAATTTACATTTGTTAGATTTTTTCGACAGCAATGCCGGGTTAAGAAACAGTTAAACATTGCTATTTTGTATGATTAAGAGGTAGTTTAGCATATAGTACTAGAGGTAGGTTTTCATTTATTAATAAACAAGGTTATTCCATCAAAGAAAGTAATTGACACAACAGTATGTCACCGTGGTACAAAACAGGGTGTTTTTGAAATGAGTGGCAAGCCTGTACGAGGTAATAAGGCACTACAAAACATGAAAATTAAGTAAATGTTTGAAAGTTCGAAAGTTCACCGTTTTTGAGGAAAATGTATTTTAAAGTACAGATAAGGGCCATTCCGGTTGGTGTTTTTTTAATCGGAGGATAGGTATAGTACCTGAACGGGTTGGAAATTCACCTTACAATTAATAAAATTACAATTACCTATCCAGAGGATATTAATTTACCTATTAATGTTTAGCTATAGTTAATTTATTCCTTATTTTGTGCTCTTAATACCATGTTGAGGCGTAAATTAATCAGTACTGCATACTATCGGCGATGAACAAAGTATACTTCGTTTACTTTCTGTAGTGATGTGACCTTCAGTTTGACCGGCGCAAAGTAGAAAAGAACAGCACTAGGCCAGAAAAGGAAGGAGACAACTCTCGATCAAACTCTTACCCGGCGAGGAGCGTATAATCCGTACAGTACTGCACTTTATCCACTACAATTGCATTGCTCAAAGATGCTGTTATTGGTACCATTTACTACTAAAAATATCAACGAGATGTTTATTTATATTTGAAGATATATTAAAGGCTTTAACGCTTGTTTTCGACTCGCACTACTATTCATGATTGAACAAAACTTTTAGCAGGTACTGTATGAAAAAGTATGTTTAATGAACAAGAGTCGAGAGTATAATGAGCTTTTTTCTCCCTACCTACGATTTTTCCAGCTCGCATCCAAGACATTGGACATTTTTGATTATAAAGGCGGCTTGTGATGACGTACGAGGTTGGAGTTTGTTGTCGCTAAACGGTCGTAGGTGTATCGGTTTATCAAATAATAACGGGACGTTCTTTCCTTTTCATTCTTGTGCGTCATTTTTTTATTAGCGATTTGTAGCTGCCGCGGATAGAGCTTGCTTTACGTTTCTGTATTTATCAATTACGGAATGTAGTAGAACGTTTAACAGATTTTATAAAGCCATTTTGGTGTGCTGTTACACAAGTATATTTACTCAAAGACTTAGTAAGTATCTTAGGTGAACTGAAAATATCAGCACAGTTTTGTATCACCGTTTGTCATTACTGAGTAAATCGAGAAAAAACAAATATCTGCAAAATAAAATAAAATTATATACCTATCTACCTGCGGGTACTCTGCATGCACAATTGTGGCGAATGTAGGATCTGAAATTGAGGGGGAGTTTACAGTAAAAAATGGGCAATATATTCCCAACTTGGGTACAAATCTATTATCAGTATCAAAATTAACCGAAAAAGATTTGGCTGTTGTGTTCATTAAGGATAAATGTGAAGTCTTTCATAACGATGACTTTAAGTATACAGGTACCGTTGAAATAAGTGCTATCAAAGAAAATGATTTATATAAACTAAATACAGACACATCCATCAATAAGTCTTTAAATTTAACTAAAACAAATGAAAGACCTATTGATGAAAAAACAGAAAGCATTCACACTGTACTGACTGTGTCAAGAAATTCGTTCGAAGTCTGGCACAAGCGAATGACTCATTTAAATGAGAAGGATCTGAGAGCACTCCTATAAAAGGAAGGATTAGGTACTATTGCTAATAAAGAAAATGACAGGTCATGCATTGGTTGCCAAGAAGGAAAACAACACAAGAAAATATTCAGAGGTTTAAAAGGTAGTCGTGCTACTGAGAAATTAGAAATTGTTCATGCAGATTTAGCAGGACCTTCAGTTAAATCAGTAAGTACCTCCTAACTTTTACTGATGACAAAACAAGAAGGTTTCCTTATTTTCTCAAAAGTAAAGACAAAGTTATTGGTAAGTTCAAGGAATTCAAGATTCAAGCTGAAAATCAAGCAGACACAAAAATAAAAATCTTTGGATGTGATAATGGAAGCGAATTTGTTAACGATGAGATGGAACGTGTTTGTCTTGAGGCCGGTATTATCCATCAGACAGCATTCCCTGTACAGCTGAACAACAGAACGGTATATCGGAAAGGGTAAATCGCACAATATGTGAACAGTAAATTATGGGCGGAAGCTTGCTGCACGGCAGTTTATTTAGCTAATCGCTCCCCTCATTCTGGCCTAGGTGGTAAGATTCGCGAAGAAGAATGGTCTGGAAAGCCACTCTCTTTAAAATATTTTAAGGTACTTGGTTGTAAATGTTTTGTATGTATGGGATGCAAAGTCTAAATTGTGTATGTTTATTGGATATGGAAATGTTACTAAAGGCTATAAGGTTTTCGATTTAAAAACTCACTTGATTGAATACGCCAGAGATGTTAAGTTTTTTGAAAATGAGTTTTGTGCTGATGATGATTTTTGTGTTGTTGTGAGGATAATTTTAACTACGACTTCATGAATAAAAAACAAATCTCAAATGAAAATGTTGAAAACGATATAGATTTAGATGTGTGATCAGACAAATTTGAATGAAAACAAAAATGACAATGACGATAACTATGTTCCAGATAATTAATCAGATAGTGAAACCAGTATTGTTGGAGATGAGAACATTTCCCAAATGGAGCCTAGACGATCTAGTAGACAACCTAAAACTAATAAACAAGATTTCAAGATTTTGTTCTTTATAATATAGTTAGTAATTCCTATGAGTATTCAAGAAGCATTATCACGTGATGATAAAGACTTATGGAATAAAACAATTCAGGAAGAAATAAATTCAATATTGGAAAACAAATACTTGGATGTTAGTAATCATCCAGAGAAAAAAAAAATAATAAAATGTAAATGGGTTTTTAAAAATAAGGTTGATTCAAATGACCAAGTTCAATATAAGGCTAGATTATACTAATAATAAATTCCTTCAGCGGTATCCAAAAGACCCAGGGGACACCAATAGAATAGAAGAGAAGTTCTGCATCGAACCAGTACTGAAGATTTTCTATTCAGGAACGTCCATAGCACAGGCTGACATTTCTGTCCTGACTCACCCAAGGTAAGTTAAGTACCAAATTTTCCTTACCATTCTACTATCCAATTCCATTAATAGGAGTTTGAATAGGTAACTTTAACACATTAAGAACATCTTGTTTTGTCTATTTTTATGTTTAAAAGTAACAACAGTGATTTAGACGATTTGGTAAGAATTTTTAATAAAACTGTAAAATTAAGTGAAAACAAAATGACTGAAAATAAAACTAATCTTCAACTGTTAAAAATGTATGTGGATACCATTTCTAACTATAACGGTGATCCGAATACTTTAGAAATATTTATATCTTCTTGCGATCATTTATACTTAAGTTATGACATTACTAATGATGCTCAGCTTAAATCTTATTTGCTAAGGGTAATAATAGGTAAGTTAACAGATAGGGCTCAACTTTTGATTGCGACTCGATCGGAATTAAATACGTGAAATTCTATAAAAGATGCTTTGAGATTGGTTTTGGCGACCAGAGAAATTTAGATTGCTTAGAACAGGATCCAATTACTTTAATAGCGCTAAAAAACGAATCTCCCTTAGATTTCGGTAAAAGAATACAAATTGCTCGCAGCCAATTAGCAGCTAAAGTTATTTCACTTAACGAATTAGAAATGAATAACCCAACAAAAATTATTACATTAAAACAATATGATAGTTTAGCTTTAAAAACTTTTATTAGGGGGGTCATTGTCAAATTTTGCGCAGGTAAACGAGTCCCTCAACATTATTTATTTTTTTGTTATTAATAATGTCAAAATCCTTAACGAATTATATATTAAATACAAAATACATCGCTATAGCGAACATCCATTATTGGAATAAAGACTCAAGTTTCGATATTTTTCAATTTTTTTCAATTAACAAAATGGTCATTAGTGGTAACAGAAAGGTTTTCCTTACAAATTGTACCTGTCCCATGTAGCATTCCGTTACAATAAACATCATATAAATGCATTTTCTACTATAGTAACCCTCTTAATATAAATTATAATCGTAAACAGAGTATTATAAATATTCAATAAAATATGTTTTAAAATCAGTCAGTATTAAAATTTAGTTTTTAAATAATTTTCTAAACTTTGTCCCACGTACTATCTGGAACCGGCTGGTTCACTATGTTACTAACTAATTCACGACTCAAAATGAAGATGGCGCTGTTTTGGACACTGTTTTATTTTGGGCGAAATGTCTGCATTCGTCGTGGGAGTTCGTTAGGTTGGGGGGAGGGGTATGTCGCTCGACAGTCGACCGCAAGGTGTTGAACGTGCTGCGTGTTTAAATTGCCCGTCCACCTTGTTACCTACCTATTCACATAAGTAAATGAATATTTTTTCATTAGTTTACGTTCAGTTTATTGTCTGAGGGGTAAATGTGTTAAATGTGAACGAAATATTTTACTTTACGCTTTATTTTTTGACTTGTGTATAATGGAATGTAAAATTTACCACTCTGTTACTACGCAACTCTGTTACTATCGTGTGGTAACAGAGTTGTTTAGAAAGTAACAGAGTTGCATAAGCCATTATATTCTGTTATTTGGCTAAAATATTATGTTTCAAATGTTATTTTTTTTAATCAGTTGTCTCAAGCAATGGATAAATTTGTTATATGTATACAAATAAATCGAAATAATAAATATAAATAACCCCAAAAACTCATTGTTACAGGATATTATGCGTTGTTTGCGTTATTAAAATGCCTCTTACGCCTGCTGAGAAGCAGCGACGATACCGGGAACGCCGTAGAAATAATCAAGAGAAGGAAGAAGAAACCAAAAGAAAAGATAGAGAAAGATACCATGCAAACAAACGCTTAGTACGTGATTTAACAACACGTGAACATCGAGCAATAAAAAAGAAATGGCGATGTGCGAATGCCAGACGAAGAGATAAAGCCAAAGCTCTCAGTATGATTATGCACACTCCAGAGTCATCACCCCCTCGTTCAAATAGTCCACCTCGGCTGTCTACTTCTCGTGAAAGCACTCCTAACTCTACATCAGCAGCGGTACGCGGCAGGAAGCAAATAAAAAGAAACAGATCAAAGCTATTTAGAGATAATATGAAATTAAAGGAACAATTAGAGACAGTAAACAAGAGACACGAAAAGTACAAAAAACGATACAACAGAGAAAAACAAAAACGATTTCAAAATGAAGACGGCAATCGATGTAATCAACAGAAATATCAGATTTTATCAAATGCTATTAAAAAACGCTATAAAAATGTAAAAACCCGGAAGGAAAAAGTTGCTATTCAAAAAATATTTGAAGAGAAGACCGTTAAAGGTTCTAGGCAGAAAACACAAATTATAAAAGAATGTCTTGCTGTGGACCAGGGTTACGTAAGAAAACAACAACCTCTTTTTAAAGTAAAGATTTTAAGTACTAAAATCAAGGAATTTTTCGAACGTGACGACATATCAAGGGCAACTGCTGGAAAAAAGGAAGCCGTGTCTCTAAAGAAAGATAAAATGCAGAAGCGCTACTTACTCGATAATATGAAGAACCTTTATGTATCTTTTAAGCAGGAAAATCCTGCCTTGAGATGCAGTTACAAAACTTTTACACGTTACAGACCATTTTTTGTTGTGCCTCCTACTGTCGCTGCAAGAGAAACATGCTTGTGTCGAATTCATACTAATATCCAATACTTAGCATTTGCTTTGTGCAAAAACAAAGTTATTCCAACATCAGATCTTAATAAGATTATTGTAGACCAAGTATGCAATCCAGATTCATTAGCATGTATGACAGGAATCTGTTCCGTATGCCTATCAAAAACAACTAATTTTGATACGTCAAAAGACGAAATCATAGTAAGATATTCTCAATGGATAAGTAAAACTGAAGTGATAGAGAAGGCAGGAAAAAAAATCAAAGTTACAAAAAACGTTAAAGAGGAAACAGAAAGTACGGGAAAGGCACTGATGGAAAAGTTTGAAATTACACTAGAGGAATTTAAAAGGCATATTTATTACATCAAGACACAGTACAGAAACTACAGAAAATGCATAGATGAGTTGACCACTAATGAAATTGCACTGCACATTGACTTCAGTGAAAATTACAGCTGCAAATGTTTTGAAGAGGTACAATCTCATCATTTTGGTGGTTCCCGAAATCAAGTGTCCTTGCACACTGGAGTGATCTACAGTCGTTGTTCAGACCATAAAATAGAGGTATCATCGTTTTGTACCGTGTCTGGAAATCTTTCACACAATCCAGCTGCAATATGGGCTCACCTCCATCCCATCTTTGCTTCAATTCAAGAGAAATTTCCGGAAGTAAATGTCCTGCATGTATTTTCAGACGGCCCCGCCACTCAATACCGCCAAAAACAGAATTTTTATCTGATATGTACAAAGTTATTCTCTAACTACCAGTTTACCAAAGTAACATGGAATTTTTTCGAGGCGGGCCATGGCAAGGGTGCAGCAGACGGGATCGGTGGTTTTTTAAAATGGGCTGCAGACCAACTTGTAGCACATGGAAGTGATATACCTGATGCCACAAAATTCTATCTTGCTTTGAAAGATGTGAGTAAAGTGAGGCTACACCTGATAACAAATGAGGATATTGAACAAAGTTCAACACAGATCTCGGACAATATCGTGCCATTATTAGGTACAATGAAAGTTCATCAAGTTTTCTCTGAGGAGCCTGGAGTTCTAAAGTATAGAAATTTGAGTTGTTTTTGTCAGCGCGGCTTTTGCACTTGTATGAATCCTAAGAATTACTTTCCATTGAAAACTGCAGTAGAACAGTCAACTCCCTCCAATTGCGATAAAAATATGCTGTCCGATATAAGCAACCTTTATCAAAAGCGAACAAAAGGGTTTTATAGATTTGTCTATAGCTCAGACTCCGATGATGTTGATGATGCCCCTTTGATATCTTTAAAAGAAAAACCTACCTATTCAGTTGCACAACCCTGCACATCAAAGGAAAATGAAAATGCCTTGATTGAAATGGAAAATATTCATGCTAATAAAATAAACGATGGTATTTGCGTCTTAGTAAAAGTTTCCAGCTCAAAACAGGATTACGTCTACCTGGGTAAAGCCTTGTCTGAAGTAGAAGAGGATGGTGAGGTTAAAATTATGTTTTTTAAGGCAATTGACAACACTGCAACAAAATTCAAATTAGTTGAGACTGATTTATCCTATGAGCCTTTTGATAATTTACTTGCCATTGTTCCAGAACCTAAAAAAGTCTGCAAAGGTAAAAGGGTATACTACCAATTTGATACTCCCTTAGATATATTTGAGAAATAAGTAACTTCAACTTTTTAGTTCCTCTTTCAAGACATTCTAATTTTTATTTCTATTAAGAGAAAAAATATATAAGAAAGTAAGCTCTTGATTGGTAAATTATAGTCATAAGTTTATTTTTGATATTATTAAAGTTTATTGATTAGGTGATTTAGATCTCATGCTTAATAAGTGCAAATTATTACGTAATGTACAATAAAAAGAACAACTATGTTACTGTGTTACAACTCTGTTACTTTTCTGTCCCAAAGATTAAAGAACTAAGTAAGATTTTAAAGAGAAGCTAGTCAATATAATATAGCAAATATTGCGATGCGTTAATTTAATAGATATTTATACAGTATTATGTTCCAGTTAGCTGTTAATATATAGATATTTGGAGGACTTAAGTAGAATTTAAGGTATTTTAATATTCAATAAGTAACAGAGTTGTTTAAGAGTTTAGATTAATGATTGTTAAACTTAACAAAAGACTGTTATGATTCTAATTATATGTAAAAGATATAAGACTGTTTAATATGAATACCAAAATATTTGCTACTGACTTGTTTAATTTCATAATAAAAGGTAAAACTAATTGGTAACAAAGTTGTATTTTTTTTACACCCTGATCCATTAAATGTGGAATAAATCTTAAATTATTGGTTGAACATCGCGACCAGCTATAATAGATGATAATGCAGTTGTTTTAACGGACACGGACATAGAAAAAAGTAAAATCTAAACATATATTTTTTTCAAAAAAAATATGATATTAAGTTAAATTTACCTACGCAAAATTTGACAATGACCCAGGGGCCTTATCGGACATTTACAAAGCACAGTAAGACTAAGAAATCCAACTTCACTAGAATTAGTAATGACTCATGTAACAGAAGAGGAAAATTTTAGATACACTCAAAATTTGCCAAATTTCCTAGCTCAGACTAAACCACAAATAAACACTTCAATACAAAAACCACCTCAACAAACACTAATTAAACAATTTCCATTCCCTCAATTCCGTCCTACTTTCCCAGTAACAAACTTACATCAAAATAATTTTAGAAGTTTGCAACCTTTCAACCACCAACCTTTTAAACCAATACAACCTCAACCTTTCAACCGACAGCCTTTTATACCTTTCCAATCTCAACAAAGACAGACTCTCGGTTTTTCCAACAATTCAAACATAACAAACACAAAAAACGTATTTAAACCGACAGGACAAACACCTAATTATACACCCGAAACAATGTCTACAACTTTTAGAAACCCTACCATTAGAAGTCAGTTTCGGAATGCTCCTTCTAATATTTTCAAGGTTACTGGTCCTCGTAATTTTATTTCTGAAGAACTTCATCAAATTGACAATGAAAACTCTGTTGCAGAAAATTTCTATAGTCCACAATCACAAACATCTTATGACCATTCCGATTTTAAATTAAATACTTCAGAAAACTTTGATAATAACGATTTTTCATATTCACCCGATGATTGCACTTGGCATTAAAATGATAATAACTATCCTGAAATTCCATTCGCTGTCAATGACAACGACCAAATTGAAAATTTTCAGTTGACCGATCAAACAAACAGTGTAACATACTAACAGAATTAAATCATTTTTCTAATAATAACCTTTTACCTTACATAACAATAAAAAATCCACCCGTTAAACTACTAGTAGACACAGGCTGTTTTAAATCTATCATTAAACAATCCGTAGCAAAAAATATTTTCCTCATGCAATCTACCACGAACTATCGAAAATAAAAACAGGTACTGGCGAAAAATTAATTAGGTTCAAGGCTACCATACCGGCTTTCCCCGAGTTTAATTCTCATAAAAATATCTCTTTTCTGTTGTTCGATTTTCACGAATATTATGATGGTATAATAGGCCTAAGTGACTTATTAGAAATCGGATTTTCGATAGATCTACAAAGTCAATATTTATTCAATAAAGATACTAAAATTCCCTTTAATTATAGAACGCTAGATCAAAATCCTTGTTTTACTTTTAGTGTCGATGCACATGAAGCAGTCGTAGTAAAAGTGCCTGTTGATTGTCCTAAAGGTGATATAATAATACCTGAACAATCGATAAATGGTTTATTTTTTTATAATTATAACGATAGCAGAAAAACGATTACGTTAAATAAACCCCTGCATGTAATACCTTTTCCTGATTCCAACAAACATAATTTCGACTTTCATATAGAACATTTTTTAGATAAACCTCCAGATAATTTAGGCAAAAATAATGATATCGATAATTAGTCTATCGTACTGACCATTTAAATAATGAGGAAAAACACACCATACTAAAACTTGGCAAGGAATTTTCAGACATATTTCATAAAGAAACACAAAAATTAACTTTCACAAACAAAATTAAACACGAACTAAAAACAATAGACGAAATTCCGGTACATACAAAATCCTACAGGTACTCTTTTGTCCATAAGGAAGTAGTGCAAAAACAAATAACGAAAATGCTGAATGACGGTATAATTAGACCATCAGAGAGCCCTTGGAGTAGTCCGATCTGGATCGTTCCAAAGAAAGCCGATGCTACTGGTAAACGAAAGTGGCGTATTGTTGTAGACTATAGAAAAATTAACGAAAAAACTATTGACGATCGCTATCCACTTCCGAATATTACGGACATTTTAGACAAATTAGGTAAATGTCAGTATTTCAGTACCATCGATTTAGCGTCTGGATTCCATCAGATCGAGATGGATCCTAAATCTATACAAAAAACGGCCTTTAGTGTAGAAAATGGGCATTATTAACATGTAAGGATGCCCTTCGGGTTTAAGAATGCGCCTGTAACGTTTCAGAGGGTCATGGATAATATCGTCAGAGACTTACAAGGAAAGGTTTGTCACGTATATATGGATGATATTATCATATTTTCCACATCATTGCAAGAACATGTCTCCAATCTTAAATTAGTCTTTGAAAGGTTACGTGGGTCAAATTTTAAAATTCAGTTAGACAAATCAGAATTTTTCAGAAAAGATGTAGAATTCTTAGGACATGTCATAACGCCCTCTGGCATAAAACCTAATCCAAATAAAATTCAAGCTATTCAAAATTTTCCCATACCTAGAACAGTCAAAGAAATAAAATCGTTTTCAGGGCTTTTGGAGTACTATAGAAGATTCATTAAAAATTTTACAAAAATAACCAAACCATTTACACAATGTTTAAAAAAGGCGCAAAAAATAGAATATACAGATGAATTTCGAAAAGCATTTGACCTATGTAGGAATATTCTTTGTAATGATCCCATATTACAGTATCCTGACTTTAGTAAGCCTTTTATTGTAACAACTGATGCGTCTAATGTAGCGATAGGTGCAGTACTAAGTCAAGGCACGGTTGGCAATGATCTACCCGTTGCCTATGCATCACGAACACAAATCCTGCCGAATGTAATTATAGCACAACAGAGAAGGAACTATTGGCGGTGGTTTGGGCTATTAAATATTTCCGGCCTTATTTATTCGGTAGGAAGTTTCTAATAGTTACCGATCATAAGCCTTTGGTAAGGCTCTATAGTCCTAAGGAGCCCAACTCAAGGTTAATACGGTGGAGACTCAAGCTTGAAGAATATGATTATAAAGTCATTTACAAAAAAAGGAAAACAAAACAGCAACGCTGACGCTTTGTCCCGCGTTGAAATTCATAACACCGAAGAAGAACCAAACGAAAACGAATCAATCGTTGTAAATGTAGGTGACATAGACGACACTTTAGAAAAATATCTTAGTAATCCAAATCTCATACCTGTCCCAGATGATCCTCAATTTGTAAGTTCTAGATCCAGCCGGAAATAGGGATGACGGTGATCTCGAAACAGTGCATTCATCTTTAGAGAACCCTACCATGGAAGTACCGATTTCTGAGAAACCTCTGAATACTTTCAAAAATCAAATTTTTATATGGTGTAATAGTAACAATATAACTGCCCATGTAAAAATATCTAAAATCTTTGATAAAAAATGATTTACTATGTCCTTTCCTAATATTAATTTGGAAAATGAAATCGTCCAAACAATGTAATTAAATCGTTGTCCGAATCTCAAAATTCTATAAATAAAGAAATACGATGGCAAATCTCTCTAGACAAAGAATTATTAAAAAATTATAATGCAACTATTACTACTCTCAGCAACAATCAGAGATTAATTGAAAGTAAATTAAACAGTTTCGCAGGAGATGTAAATGTAGCTTTTCAGGACGTATCTGCATTTTTAAGAGCTGAAAATCTCTTACAGCAAATAATTCTTAATTGTCAAAATTTAATTACCTTTTTGAACACCTTAGAGAATGCTATATTATTTGCCAGAATAAACACTTCGCATAATACCATAATTAACCCTACTAAACTACAAAACATAATTGAATACCTTGTTAAACTATACGGTGAAGATTGTGTACCGAAATTCGGCAATATATTGTACTATTACCAAATCGCTGAATCACACGTTGTTTTCAAAGATGATAAAATAATATTTATTATACATCTACCTATTCTTATATCCAAAAAGTTTGACTATTTTCGCCTTTTTCTTATATCCCAAAATAATTTTACTATTGTACCTCCACACCCTTATTTGGTACTTAACCCTTGGCAACATCAATATGGAGAAGAACAGTGCCCTCTTATTGAAGATACGTATATTTGTCCGAACCAGCTTACTTGGAATAACGAAGATTGCATCATCCCGATTATACAAAAAACAACGGCAGCCGACTGTCAAGCCGTACCTGTGTATTCGACAACACCTCTTTTTGAACAAAGTAGCAGTCGCAACGTATTAGTGATACCTGCCCAGAAACCAATCGTAGTGAAAAGAGTATGTTCAACAACTGGTCTATCATCTATACAATCGGCCAGCTTAGATTCCTAAGAACTGTAAAATAGAAATGGAAAACGCTACATTCTCGAACGAAGAAAGCCTTGTAGATGGGGAACCGTTCATACTTCCGGATTATCATCCATTGGAGTCCCTAAAAAGGGTTAACGTCCTACCTATTAACCTCCACCAAATAAAGCTTGGGAAGGCATAGGGAATGCAACGTTGGTGGCTTTCTGCACCTCAAGATGAAGTATCCTATGCACCAATTAACCTCTCTATCAGTTATTTCAATTTTGTGATAGTGCTACTATTTTCACTCATATTATTGGGTTTTTGTGTGATAAAGTTAAAAAAACATTTTCTTATGTTAAGAAAAGGAGATCACGGAATCGAAAACAACCCTACAGACGTTGTTTTCAAGTTTAGCAAGGGAGGAGTTACATATTTGACAAACTTATTAGACGATAGTAAATAATCTGCATCCTTTCAGATATGATATGCTTTGCAAATATAATTATATTGTTTGTGTATTCTTGATTTCGATTCTATTAGCCTATTATGTTTATTCTTAATAATGATTTAATTAAGACATCCATATTGTTAAGATAGTCTCTATTTAGAAATAGATAAATTCAAAGTATGAAATATCAAAAATTTAGAAAGTAAGTCAGTCTAGTAACAGATTTATGTCGGTCCTAATGCTAAAATAAATTTTTAAAAAAGAAAATATTCTTTTCGAATTACTTAAGTAGGGGGCGTAAAAACTATGTACAAAAATTACCCCAGTTATATGAACCAACAATGATTGAGAACACTCGTCAGGTTGGCTGCCGGGTTATCTTATCGCCTTCCGTTATCGCCAGC